ATATTTTAAACTTTAATTCTTCGATTATTTTAAAATATATCATCTTTTAAATAGTTTCTTTGTCATAAAAAGACACGCCATTATCGGCAAGAAAAAATTAACCTTAAAAATATCATCTTTTAGTTGTTCCACTTATGGTAGTTCAAAACTTTATTACACATCATATGTCATTAGTGCATTGTTTCATGTGTAGATATTCTAATATATTGCACTGTTCAGTTCCTACAAGAACTCTTATTTACTTATGTTACTAGAACATTTTTATATTCCTTGATTTTAGAACTTAGAAATCAAAGTTTATTCCAGATTCAGATTTATCTAGGATTATTAATTCTTAGATATACTGCAATGTTTAATTCACTGCATCTTTTCTTAATTGTTTTCACTGACTTTCTTGACTGATCTCTTTTCTAATCTCACATTTTTTCACTCTGCTAAAACTTAACTGCATCTTTATCTTGTCAAATACTCGACTGGTTTTTCTCTTCTTAACTACTTTCACTAAATCCATACTAACTCTATCTTTTAAGAAAACAGACTCTATATATATAGAGTTGCCTTTACCTACGCTTAGAACTTTCTCTAATATGAACTTTATATTAGACATGCCCCAATAACCCAGAAAAATTTGAAAATTAATTAAAAATTCGCAAAAATATTCATTCTACATATTTGACAGTCTTTACCTTGTCACCATATCTTTTTTTCGAAGTCATTTACAATTGACACAAATAATAAATATTAACAAAAATCAACATTTCACTTCTACAATTTGTCTTACTGACTTTTTGATTTCTTTGTTAATTTTATTGTAACTGTAAATAACTTTGCCTGTTTTTAGGTGCTATTAGAACGTATGTCCCCTAAAACTTTTAACTTTACTATATTAATAATCAAAATTACGGTCTTAATTCTTAAGTGCGGTGCAGACTATCATACTGGTGTGTCATACGAGTTGCGCTCTCTCTTGCTTAAATTTCTTCTAGCGACCGAATTTGAACAGGTATGACACACAAGAGTCGTCATTTATTCAAAATTTTTAAAGAGTGCTTTTCGGGTGGTGCTGTAAAAATTTGTGTGTTTAAAATAAAATCATAAAATTGAAAAAATAGATACTTAACGTATAGGTTGCGCTTTGCTTATAATTGCTTATAATTTTGTATATCTTATATATGCCGCGTCTTTTTTTTGCGATCTTTATATTCACAGCTTTGGACATCCCACAAACAGCTATTACTTTTGTTAACATTTGATGAAAGCATCTAAAAATGCTTTATCTGCATCCATATTCATATTTTTTTTAGGTTTATTGGTCATTAAGCACAGTAGTTAAAATGAAAAGATCAGTAAAGGACCGTTATTAATTTCATTCACTACCTGTAAAATTTCTTAAGAAATTTTTCATAAATAGATCATACAAATAATGTATATATGTATGTGGTATTATTACTGTAGTAATATTATAGTTTTATTATTATTGTAATTTTAACTTATTATAATTAAAGTATAAGATTATAATGAAAAGTTATTAATATAGTTTCGCGTCTTTTATGGCGTCTTTATCCGTCGTTTTCCGATTAGCAAGCACGTCGTCTTTCTTGCTTGTTCCGCACACAACACACAACTAACTATTTGATGTAGGTCAGCTGTTAATTCACAAGTAGGGGCAGAGTTGCATTTTCGTAATTCTTATCCCACATTCGGCCAATCCTGATAGACATTCGTCTCGAATGACTCCGTTTTGCTATCATCTTCTTCGTATGTACTCCAAGGTTTCATATATTCGGAGCAAGTGGTTGTATTCTTCGGTCCTTCGTTTATACCAATCTTGGTGACATCGTAAGTATCGTTAGGCTTTGTATTTATTACCTCGTATGGACCTAAGTATTTTGGCTTTAGTTTGAGACCTGTGCCAAATTGAGTCCGTTTAATTGCTACCATATCGCCTTT